TATTTACCTAAATAAATTTTCAGATTGTTCTAGCTTTGGCAAAGTGGGGTTGTTTAGTTTTACAGATTCAAGTAAATCAAATGCTCGTTTTCAATATCATAGGTCAATAAACATCATTGATAGATGACATGATTAAATATAGAGGTAAAGAAACACAGAAATGGGATCAAATTGGATCAGTCATCATATAACGGCATCTGAATGATACTGTTTTAATGTTATTTGTCCCATTGTTTGGGTAGAAGAAATTCTGCCAAGGTGGGCAGGTGGGCAGCTGCCCAGTCCCCGCGCTTTAACCCGTTAGAAATATAATCGGCATGCTACTTGAGACAATCAGAATGGGTCTGAGTATATTTATCACTAATTGAGCTGGTTGTGAATCATGTCATTATACTATTGTTGTGAACAGGTCGTGTGGATTGTTCAAATTACGAAGTCCTCAGCTGTTCAAACGGATAAAAGTTCCTGGAATAATTGCTGTGTTCATGAAGGTGTATGTTTTGTAAATGTAGATCTACTCACATAAAACTCAGGATCTTCGTTGTCCGATCAAACTCATCGTGTCAACTATGCGTTCACCATACTTGCAGGAAGTTGCAGGAACGTTCTGGAGGATCATGTCACGGTTTTCACGTGCAACCGGTGTCAGAAGGTTTCAGTCCCCTGTAGAATTTGGAGGCACGTTGTACCGGTGCCTCCATAGGTGTATTAGATTCTACGTATGTTTGGAAAAGGTGAAAATAGTTTTTTTTCGAATATTTTTATCAATATTTCGACAACATCACCACGTGGGACACTAAAATAGCCATATGCACGTGGTAAAAGACGCTCGGGTTCCATTCCTAACACGGATACATTATTTCCTGACAGAGGTTGGAATTATGAGATGTATTGGAAACCACCTGTCATTAGTTTATTAATGCGACGTGTTTCAAATGAACACAAAACATTCAAAATGACCACTTAAAGACCAAAATGAAATAACACATTTACATAAAAGCAAGCCGAATCTACGAGAAAACTTTACCAACAAATACGTTACGGTGCGTTTTTCTTAGCACTGGATTAATTCCAGATCGTTTAAGGGAATACACTTTATAACCCCATCCCAATATTGATGTATCACGTGATCTATTTAACAACGGCTATATCGAAGTCCGATAAGCAGATGTATCACACAGGTCCTCGTGTCTTTGTGGGGGCGGTGGGGTAGCCTAGTGGTTAAAGCGTTGGCTCGTCACGCCGAAGACCCGGGTTCGATTCCCCACATGGGTACAATATGTGAAGCCCAATTCTGGTGTCCCCCGCCGTGATGTTGCTGGAATATTGCTAAAAGCGGCGTAAAACCATACTCAGTCAGTCAGTCAGTCGTGTCTTTGTGAGGATTAAAGATTTAAAAAGTAGAAACCGTTTGAGATGATAAATCATGATTTTTTGTACAAGGGGGTCATCTCGAACTTTTTTCTTTTTTTTTCAATCTTCAATCCTCTCAAAGACACGAGAGCCTGTGGTGTATCAGACCATTCTTTGACTTTTACAATTGCAGCCATTATGGTGAAAGATGAGGGACTGCAGTTCTGAAAGATTTCTGGAAAGTACACACATATAGACTTTAAACCTAAATAACACAGGGGTATCTTCCCATTAGTTACACGTGCCATTAGTTACACACCCTTATACAAACAACTTTACAGCTGATTGCACATCTAATCTCCTTCCTTTTACCTTGAGATTGGAATGGAATGACACATGCTTGTGTATGACAAATACGACAATGCTCTATAAGCACTGGACTAAGATTTATCAAAATATTTACAGAGATAATATTTATTTACAACAATATAGACAACATAAGACAACATAAGAAGCACTGGACAAATAAGAATAAGACAAAGCACTATAGAACAAGAATCACAGAACAAGTCACAGAATCCGAAAATGAGGTTCAGACGAGCTTAATCAAGTGTCCGATAGCATCAAGGAATTCTAGCGGTGACTTGGCTCTCTGCTGGAGTTGGTCTTTCAATCTCTGGATCCAGTTCTCCAGCTCCCTGTAGACCCGTTTCTGTGTAGGTGGAGCTGCCCCAAAGTCAATATGTGCAAACTTGACTCGATCTACGGTCTCTATCTTCCGAATAACGGCAATAAATCTGTATATGTTTGGGTGGTTATGAGGCAAGGTTCGGTTGAGTCTGTTGTGAAAGCCCTCAAAGTTGTTGTTCGTGCGGGGCCCCGTGTTTGGTGATGGTTCCACAGGTGAAGAGGAAATCTGGCATCATAGTCTACCCAGTTCACAACCATACCATCATTGAAGTCCTCAGCACGGTTAACCTCAGGGGAAGAATTAATGGATTCAAGCCTCATGTCTTGCACCAACTCTTGTGGTATGCGCGGTAAGCGTGCAGCGCGCCGGATCTGTTGTTCAACATTGGGGTCATCCTTATACTGTCCAGCTAGTCCTAGGTCTTGCGTCTTGCGCCAGATGGCTTGTGTGATACAGGATATCTAAATAAAATGCACGGGAAATTACTTTGACTACAGCAATAAAGAATGCCACCTAACAATTAACCTAATCAGAAATTTCATATTTTCATGACAGACACATAGTGCATATCTGTAAAAATAATCCAGGACCTTCAACCGATCACAATGATCTCTCAACATGTTACAGATCTTTATATGCTGTAACTATTTATAATCGGGACTATCCACAGAAAATAATAACTTTCTTGTCGTCTTATGAAACAAATAATGCTTCAGACTTGCAGGAATGTAACACCGGGTGTTTATATCAAAATACACAATCGCGCATACGACCTGACCAGGACATAACAACAAATACGACTATATCCAAGTTAATACACATTAACACCGCAAAATACTATGCAAGCTGTTTACATGACAAGACAGTGATGGTTACCAAATGCAGTTACCGTTTGAATGTATTAACACATCAATTATAATGCCAAATCTTGTTGTTTGACCTCCTGTAATTTTGTCTCGTCTGATCAACTCTGTTATGTCTCTGTCCTTCTCGTATGTTTCCTCCCTCCTTCATCTGATCCATCTCAGCTCTGAAACATTTCAAAGTCGAGTCGAGCTTTTCGTTCACTATATTCTCAAGTCGACTCGCTGCTCTCTCTTCTGGAACTCCAGATCCTTCTGCTGTTGTTGCAGTTGGTTGTCCTGTGTTTGGATAAGTTCTGTTTGCTGTCCAATAATACCTGCCTGATCACTCAGCTGCCTGTTCTGTTCTTGCATTGCCAGTTTCCTCTCAGCAGCTACCCGCTGTAGTGATTCTATACTCCTACCTTGTGACTGTAACGTCCTCTGCTGCTGCTCTAGCTTCTCATCCTGTTCTCTCAGCAGCAACCCGCTGTATTGATTCTATAGTCCTACCTTGTGACTGTAACGTTACACTCATATGTTACTGTATTATAAACGATTGTATGTTCTCTATATCATTCTGTATGATTTACGAGAAAACACTTCTGTTCTGATCTGTTCTGAACGTCTGCTGCTGCTGCGCTAGCTTCTCATCCTGTTCTCGAATCACCTTGTGTTTTTTCCTGAGTGTCAGCTTTTGTTCTTCGTTCTGTAATGCCAACGCTCCAAGTCGATGAGTTTGGTCAGAGACAGTCTTTTGTAGATGTTCTATATGGTGTCCTTGCTTTGAAATCACTTCAACATGGCGTTTTACAGCTGAACCTAAATTTTCTATAGTCTTAGTCTGTTCGCTTATGGTTCTTTCCGACTTGGAAATGATTGTGTTTTGCTGCGTAATCTCATTCTCATGGTATATAACACCTTTCCTTAATTCTGCGATAACGATTTTTTGTTCACCGCACAGTGTATCTAAGTGTGTAAGTTTGTTCTTTAAAGTGTCCATTGTGTTTGCTGATTCAACCAGACAGCGCCCAGAGGCTTCTCTTTTTTGTTTTAGTTCAAAGACCCGATTTCTCGTTTTTCGCTTCATCACATGTTCTGCATCTGCAACATCTTGGCTAAGATTTTGGATGACGTCATTGGTTCCTGGTTTGTGTGTTTTGCCTTGTTTGACAGTACCAAGATGTCTCTCCAGATTGTTAACTGAATCTTGTTTTTGTTTGATTTCTTTGAACGTGTTTGAAAACATATCCCTCGTGTCTTTGCCATTTCCGTTCCTCTGAAACATATCAAAACATGATAATTCATAGGACATAAGATTCTCTATATTGTGTGTTATTTCGAATACCGCCCGTGGCTATCTGTGTTGGTATGTGTTGCTTTCCTTTTCACTCCGACACACCGCTATTTAAGATATATAAGTATTACATATGCTGGACCTGGTGGTTTGGTCATATTCGTTGTAGTAATAATGATGTAGATGGTGTACACATCACAATTCTGCTACACGAATACCGCCATGAAACACTAATATACAGAAGTGCTAATATAGAACTCCAGAGATTTATCAGTATCCGAGGAAACGGATCGGTTGGACATGATAACGGATTTCTGAAAATCAGTGATGACACAAGGTGTTCGCGAATAGGTTAATAATGTCTAATGCATCCTTGCCGCTGAAAGAGCATTTACAGTTATTTCTTTGAACAGACAGTTACATCTGTTGCAATAGCAAAATGAATTCGAGTATGGGCACTATATTATTTGGGTATTTAATTTTACCCTTATATCCTGTTGAAAAGATTACATGACAGAGAAAGAATACACAAGCCTTCGTAATCCAGCTATATATTTTATTACGTTTAGCTGAACATCTAAACTCAGCTCACTAGTGGTTAGGGAAACGCTCTTGTTATTGTCCATTCTCTCCCCACAGAGATTACTTGTCATATCTTCCTACGAAAGATATGACAAGTAACCTCTGTGGGGAGAGAATGGTTATTGTCGTACCTAACGGTTTTATTCAATATTAGTGACAATGATAACTTGTATTGTTGATTGCATGATACTTTGAATAGTGGAAAATATCAGGACAAAAATATATTTTCGCTAACAAGGATATCAATATTTTTATTAGCAAATTAGTACAGTTCATTTCACCGAATACAAATGAAATATCTATCAGAAAAGTATGTACTCAAACAGTAGTACACAAAGAAAAGTTGGAACATGAGAAGAAGCTTCAGTTATCTTGAATGCATGCTTTCTCTTTGCAATCCTCTTTCAATTTCTGTGAAACGTTGTAGTATTCGCAGGTGTCCAAAGCGGCAATGAAGCCGTCAAAGGCTCCCTTCCCTCGCTGAAGCAGAATTTCTAAAAAACAATGATTCCTGTCCTCTTTTGTTTTACAACTGAGGACACTGTCCACATCCTCCACATACAGGGTTCTCGTCGCTACGAGGGAGTTCACCAGGAACATTACATCTATTTCAGCCTTGATATACGCCCAGTTTCTCTTGATGCACTGTTCATGGTGAGGGGGCATCTCCCCCCTGGTCTCCACATATCGAGACATCTGGAAAAAGCAGCAAAGTCAGTCACCGTGCAAATTACATAGAGCAACTGAACCCTTGTAATCTTGGAAATCTGAATTATATATATATATATAAATCGTCAACGCCAATTAGTGAGCCTGACCACCTGAATCAATTAAGTCGCCACTAAACACAAGGGATGCACACCCCTATTATATTTGAGAACCTGCTCTTGTTAAATGAGGTTGCGTTAATACAAGCTATCTATCTGCAGGTGGTCCTGGTGTACAAACACATACTATACGAAAGATATTGTTTTGACCACCCCGTGGTGTAGACGTACCCTACAAGGTAGAGCGTCAGCCAGGAGAGCAGAAGGTCGGTGGTTCAGTTGTCTGGACAGGTGATACCAATAGATGGGTCATGTTTAATAGTACTTGATGATACCCAGGCTGACGTACGACATTAATGGCTTAGGTCAAGGACTGTTCTATTCTGTGAGTACGGTGTCTGAGTGGGCTACCAATAGTCCTCTTCGGGATCCATGTTCCATGCCACCACTTCTCTGCTGGCCAATACCCAACCCATTCTTTCGCGAACATAGTTCATTCGTGTGATTTTCACAGCTATTTTGCGATTTACACTGAATGGTTTCTGTGGATGGTCAAAACTGGATGTTCATTTGCACAGGCGTTTTAGATTTAACGTCGCGTATAAGAGGGATTATAGTCTTGGTGTCAATGATAAACTGCATTATATACCTCAGTCGATCACAATGAACCAGTATCAACACGTCGGGGGAAGTCAGGACTGCTAGCAGCTACACACACAAGTACATGCTACACGAACAAATAATTTCAAACATGGCGTTTGTCATACACAAACACTCAAGTAAACGTGTTGTGTTGGCGACTTTAATAAACAAATACTAAATAAGAAGAATCATGTAATCTCATACGAAGGTTATGTTGATGTAATCTGCTCAGGTTTGAGAGACTCGAATGATTTTGGAGAGTAATATTTAAAGCTAAACTTTCTAATACTCACTTGAGCCTGTGGAAAATACCGCTGTAAGTACGTCTTGTTGTAGAGACCAGTTGCTATTATCAAAACAGAGTTGTAGAGTGCCTCTTGAAACCTAATATGAACCATTAGAGGTCACTGATGGCCGCTTCCATACAAATCACAATGGAAATATGTACTAGCTGTCTGTCAACTGACGATCGAGGTCGGTGATTCATGCCATTGATATAGTTCTCTGCAGGAGCGTACAGGACAATAATGTCACGCATGCCTAGGTATATTTACATAAGTAATGCGGAAAGCAAATACAAAAGCATATACAGTCGAACCCCGTTTACTCGGACCCCGTATATCCGGAAATCCCTTCCGGACGATTTTGTATAGACATATGAATACAGTCATCTGAGTTCGTTATTAGACAAATAGTATCCCAGTTATGTTGAAAACAATAGCGATACAAGCCAAGAGGATCGAAAAAATAAAACCAGTCTTTTGTCTTTTATAATCTAAAACAATACATACTGGTCCATATAATGGCAATTCCAAATTCCATGGCTGAATCGATGTTTATAATATTCTGTTGCTTTGATTTCCATCTTTCACTATGTGCAGGTTTTCGAAGTATGATTATCAATTTTACAGGTAATATGTTATGTATGACTATGTCAGGCATTACACGTGTGTCAGTTGCAGGTAGATCAATACAGCTTCGCCTGTGAACAATATGGATGATATATATTTCTGTGTACCTACTTACAATGATCAAAATATTTACAAGGGAGCGTACCAGAAAGAATTATCATACTGGTACATGTGTACTAATATCGTCAACATGATCTATAACATTGGTTACCATTGGTTACACAGATAATATTACCTAGACCTGCTGAGTGTGACCGTGGGACAACAAGACTTTGCAATGTAATATACCTTTATTCTCTCTCTGTATATGAATACACCTGTTTCTGTATATCTCTGCGGGGACAGTACAGACTCAGAACTGATACCTGCTTGAGACTCCAACCGCCGCTAACACCCGCCACCCGGCGAGAGAATGGGTTTACTTGGTCTGGTGTGCTTAACTCAGCTGAAGGTGACTTCCTTGTGTGGTTGACAGGTGGTCGCGGCACTCCTGTTAAGTATTTAATTCCGAGAACAAGGTACATATAACAATAAAACTGTCCACACGTGTATAAATTACGATGTCTCTCAACTGTTTTTTCAGTACTGACAAATGTATGGATAACAATATAAGTTGAAGCACTGTGATTCGGGATATACCTGGCTTTATGCGTCCCGTGTTAGGTTTCATCCACCTAACAAGAGACGCATAAAACCCCGTATATCCCGAATCATCATGCTACAATGAATTTATCTTATTGAATGTTTAAATCTCTCATTATGTAAATATAACATTGAAAAAAACTGAAATTCAATCCTACACTTTACTAACCTGGTACTAACTCGTCGACCTGAACCACTGGTTCACTGTTCATGGACTACCGTGGATGCAGGCTTTTTCCATGGGGCGGGGTATAAATGGCTTATTCTCCTTCGAAAGATTTATACCCCGCTTCGGCGGTGTACGGCCGTAGACCGGGCATGCATAGTAATTTTTCAAGGTGACATGGACCAATCGAGGTTCTTACATGAGGTAGGATAACTTCTTTCAACATTGTATAACTTTATTCAGTAGAAAGGCCACATGCCCATTTACAATGTATATTACAATACAAAAGGAATGATGTGCACAAAAACTAGAACATATTTTTATATATTCACGTCGCATAAACCTCTGACGAAATAAAGTGTATATTAAAACAGTTATTCACAGGGATAAAATGGGCTAGTCCCAACTCCGACAACTTAGTATGTATGCGGAAGTTTACGCTTACGGCGGATCGCCCATCGATCACTACATAAAAATATTTCTTTGGTAATACGACTAAAATGCAGGTTACATAAACGTTTATAAAATCTGACAGTACTTCCCCACTGGCGTACAACTGGGGGTATCCATGCTATTTCACCATTAACAGCCTTATTTGGGGCACACTTTTTAAGCCCTAAGAAGAAACGCATAGCACGATTTTGGACAGCATTGATACAAGACAGAGAGCCATATACATGAACCACAGTCCAAAATGGACCAAACCTTCGTATCATACAGTTTAGTGAACGTAGCAAGTGTGTGCGTGGCGTGGCGTGGCGTGTAGAAATTTGGGCTTGTACACGCATGTGATAGTTCGAATGAGTGCATGTGTGTATGTGTGTCCGTTCACAAACCACCCTGAATCTATAAGTAGACTTGACTAACAAACACGTGCGTTTTTCGTATCACTGGATTATTTCTAGGCCGTTTAAGGGAATAAACTTCATAATAAACCATCTGAATATTTATGTATCACGTGATCTATTTAATAACGGTTATATCGAAGTCCAATACGCAGATGCATCACACAGGCCCTCGTGTCTTTGCCAGGATTAAAGATTAAAAAAAGAAAGAAAAAAGTTGGAGATGATAAATCCTAATTTATTGTACCGTGAAGCAAGTTGTTTTGGTATTTTTTTTTAATCCTCGCAAAGACACGACGACCTGTGATGTATCAGACCATTCGTCAGACCAGTTTTTTTCAATTGAAGCCATTATCGGGACAGATAAGGGACAGCAGTTCTGAAAGATTTCTGGAATGTACACACATATAGACTTTAAACCTAAATAATTCCGGATATCTAAATAAAATACACGGAAAATTACTTTGACTACAGCAATAAAGAATGCCATAAGACAATTAACCTAAAATGAAGCTTCATATTTTCAAGACAGACACATAGTGCATATCTGTAAAAATACTCGTTCAACCGATCACAATGATTTCTCAACATGTTACAGATCTTTATATGCTATAACTATTTATAATCGGGAATATCCACAGAAAGAAATAACTTTCTTGTCGTCTTATGAAACAATTAATGCTTCGGACTGCAGGAATGTAACACCGGGTGTTTATATCAAAATACACAGTCGCACATACAACCTGACCAGGACATAACAACAAATACGACTATATCCAAGTCAGTTTGGATTAACACCGCAACATATTACCTGACACACATACTATACACGCTGTCTACACGACAAGACAGTGCCGGGCAAATGGTTACCAAATGCAGTTACCGTTCGAATGTTTTAACATATCAATTATAATGCCAAATCTTGTTGTCTGACTTCTTTGTCTTCCTGTCATTTTGTGTCATCTGATCGACTCTCCTGTATTTCTGTCCTTCTCGTATGTTTCCTTCCTGTTTCATCTGATCCATCTCAGCTCTGAAAGATTTCAAAGTCGAGTCGAGCTGCTGCCCTTTATCACTCACTATATTCTCAAGTCGACTCGTTGCTCTCTTCTGGAAGTCCAGATCCTTCTGCTGTTGCTGCAGCTGGTTGTTCTGTGTTTGGATACGTTCTGTTTGCTGTCCAATAATACCTGCCTGATCATTCAGCTGCCTGCTCTGCTCTTGCATCGCCAGTTTCCTCTCAGCAGAATCCCGCTGTAGCGATTCTATACTCCTACCTTGTGACTGTAACGTCCTCTGCTGCTGCTCTAGCTTCCCATCCTGTTCTCGAATCACCTTGCGTTGGTTCCTGAGTGTCAGCTTTTGTTCTTCGTTCTGTAATGCCAACGATCCAAGTCGATGAGTTTGGTCAGAGACGGTCTTTTGTAGTTGTTCAATATGGTTTCCTTGCTTTGAAATCACTTCAACATGGCGTTTTACAGCTGAACCTAAATTTTCTATAGTCTTAGTCTGTTCGCTTATGGTCCTTTCCGACTTGGAAATGATTGTGTTTTGCTGCGTAATCTCATTCTCGTGGTATATAACACTTTTCCTTAATTCTGCGATAACGATTTTTTGTTCACTGCACAGTGTCTCTAAGTGTGTAAGTTTGTCCTTTAAAGTGTCCATTGTGTTTGCAGATTCCAGCAGACAACGCCCAGAAGCTTCCCTATCTCGTTTTAATTCATGAATTATTTCATTCTTTTCCTGCAGCTGATCCTTCAAAGACCTGATCTCTTCTTCTTTTTGCTTCATCGCATGTTCTGCATCCGCAACATCTTTGCTAAGATTTTGGATGACATCATTGGTTCCTGGTTTATGAGATTTGACAGTGACCAACTTTTGCTTCACAGTACCAAGATGCCTCTCCAGATTGTTCATAGAATCTTGTATTTGTTTGATTTCTTGCAACGTGTTAGAAAACATGTCCCCCGTGTCGTCGCCATTTCCGTTCCCCTGAAACATAAAAACATGATAATTCATAGGACATTTCTTATTTTCTTCGGTCACAGCTTGAGGACAAACACATTTATCGAAAACAAAATTACCAAAAACCATATTTACGCATAATACTATTGAAAGAAGAAATTTTCTGCCACAAAAGTTACATAGTGGGAAGATGCTAAGAAAATACCCAGATTCATATTTTTAATTGCACAATCATACACCACCCTAAAGAACATGACATGGACGGTCTGTTACAGCTAAGTCCTATATACTTAGAAATTCTTTGAAAGTCTCAATGTTGAATTCACAGATATAACCTACAATTGTATATTCAGAGTGCTATTGAAATTTCAAACCTAATCTCGGTGAGAGGGTTGTGTTATAGCCTTAGTGTCAAGAGACAGAACATTCAGAACTTTAATAGAGGGCAATCATTCTTAGCCACAGGCATGCACACGCCATGGTTAGCGTGGTGCTTCCACATATCTGTCATAGAACCATTGTTTGCTCGCATTCAGCTCGACACTATTGCTATCTGTCGGCTGTAAATGGAGCTTCAGTTATGCGTCTTAAGCCTTATGTCTGTCTGCAGATTACCGGTATTGACACTCTACATTATGTGTATTCCGAATACCGCCCGTGACTATCTGTGTTGGTATGTGTTGCTTTCCTTTTCACTCCGACACACCGCTATTTAAGATATATTAGTATTACATATGCTGGACGTAGTGGTTTGGTCGTATTCGTTGTATTGATAATGATGTAGATGGTGTACACTTCACAACTCTGCTACACGAATACCGCCATGAAACACTCAGATACAGAAGTGCAAATATGGAACTCCAGAGATTTATCAGTATCGGAGGAAACTGTTTGGTGAGACATGATTACGGATTTCTGAAAATCAGTGATGACACCAGGTGTTCGCGAATAGGCTAATAATGTCTAGTGCATCCTTTCCGCTGGAAGAGCATATATATCAATGTCTTTGAACAGACAGTTACATCTGTTGCACATAGAAAAATGAATTCGAATATGGACAATTTATTATGTGGGTATTTAATTTTAACCTCTAGATCCCACTGAAAATATTACGTGACGGAGAATAAATACACTAGCCTTCGTAATTGAGTGTTACATTATCCGACTTGAGATTTTATTACGTTTATCTGAACATCTAGCTCACTAGTGGTTAGGTTCCCCAATGTGTGAAGCCCATTTCGGGTGTCCCCCGCCGTGATATTACTGAAATATTGCTGAGCGGAGTAAAACCACACTCTGTCAGTCAGACTAAAGTACTGTCCGAAATAGAAACAAACTGTTTTTTCCCATTTATCTCTACAATTTATGTAGTTGATATGTGAAAGTGTGAAATATCTGTTAAACTAAGTTCGGCCTAACTACAGTCTCAGTGGTAGAGAGATAGGAAACGGAGAAAAAGGACTTTACTGAGGGGAAATTAGTGCAGAAATTAGTCTAAAAAGACTTATTTGGAACAGACCATGGCTTTATACAAATTAGTGTGCGACGATATTGTATTACAAAGGACACTTTTTAAATGCCCAATATGAAATTAGACGTAGATTCATTATAAACGATAGCTGACGTAAAAATAATAATTTTTAAGCCGAAACTATTAAGGATGTAGCTACCATGCAGTCTCACTGTCACTATAAAAACAAACAGATGGGAGGGGTCGCCTCAAAAGCAAAACCTGGGGTCGGGCTTGGGGATAGAGATATCAGCTGAGATAAGAAAATCCTTCAGGGCAAATAGTCAACACACATGAAAAAGCACAAAATATCTTTGAGATGACCCCTTGTGCCTGTAAGCAGCACGTGCATTTCATGCCAGGTGAGTCGACGGTCCGTCGTCATACCTGGCTGAGCGACCTAATTGCCATCTGTAGTCTGATCTATTTTTTTCAGCAGCTATTCGTGTTTTTTATGTTTTGCCCGACTTTACGAGTAAACATGCTTTTCTGGATATCGTATTACTCATCCCAATGAACGCCCAGTTAGGCCGAAGTGGGTTATTTCGACATATGCTATTTACAACTGTGTAAATTTTAGGGATACAGAGTAACAGCCTAAAAACAGTGTTTTTTTCTATTTCCGACAGTACTTTAGTGGTTAGGGAAACTATGTTGTTATAGCCACATCTAACGGGTTTATTCAATATAAGCGACTATGTTAACTTGTATTGTATTGTTGATTGAATGATACTCTGAATAACAGCGGAAACAATCAAAGAACAAAAATATATTTTTGGTCACAAATGTTCAGACGGATATCAATTATAGCAAATCATCACATTTCCATTAAAATAAGTGTGTGTACACATAACGTAGTACAAAAAGATAAGCTGGAACATAAGAAAACGATTCGGTTATCTAGAATACATGCCTTCTCTTTGCAATCCTCTTTCAACTTCTGTGAAACATGAGAGTATCCGTTGTCCTCCAAAGCGACAATGAAACTGTCAAAGGCTCCCTTCCCTCGCTGAAGCAGAGTTTCTAAGAAACAATGATTCCTGTCGTTCTTTGTTTTACAACTGAGGACGCTGTCCACATCCTCCACACACAGGGTACCCGTCGCTATGAGGGAGTCCCCCAGGTCCTTTGCATCTATTTCGGCCTTGATAAACACCCAGTTGCTTCTGATGCAGTTATCGTGATAAGGGTGCATCTTCCCCTTGGTCCCCACATATCGTGCCATCTGAAAAACGCCGTAAGGTCAGCCACTGAGCCCGTGTAATCTTGGAAATCTGAAATGTCAACGCCTCAGAATACCCAGTCTCGATTATCCGAAAAACATTTCCTCTGGGTGCAAAAGGCAAAATACATGTGAGAATCAAATGAATCGACCACCCGACCCGATGACACTAGATCGAGGTGAATTAGGTCCTGCTACACTCTCTCGGACACACGCACATGTTTTGTTGAGTTCTTTGTTTCCCAACGCTGCTATTACCAGTATTTCAACAAATGACTACGGCCTGTACCCAATGGAGTCTGGACCAGAATGAAAGAACGTGAACAATTAGTGAGCCTGAACAGTTAAGTCGCAACCTACGACAGGAACCTGTCCTTGTTAAATGAGGTTAAACGATATATATATATGTTTACAAATATGCATGATATTGATTTGACGACTCAAGAAGTTCACTACAAAGTAGAGCGTCAGCGAGGTCGGTCATTCAGTTCTCTGGACAGATCCTACCAATATTTGGTTCGTGCTTTATACTGTTGTCCTGCAGGCACACGGCATCAGTGGTTTAAGTCGAGGATTGTTCCACTCGGCGTGTAATGTGTCTGGGAGGGAGCTATCAACAGTCTTTCTCTCCGACCCATATTCTATTCCACCACTTATGAACTTCTCTGCCAGCCAATACCCAACCAATTCTTAGCAGCAGTTCTGACATTAGGAGACTCTGCGATTCCTTATTAAACAGTGCCAGGGCATTTTTGTGAACATAGTTCATTCATATGGTGTACACAGCTATTTTGCCCTTTACATCGAATGACATCTGTTTTCTGGGGATAGTCAAAACTGGGTATTCTTTTGCACATGCGTTTCATATTTCATGGCGTAATTAAGGGATTATGCACTTGCATGCACTTTGCTACATGAGTAAATCATATCATACACACATGATGTTTGTCTTCACGTTACCTCACATATCGCTTCAGGATTAATAGAAGAAATAGGTTGGACTTTACATCTACTGTGCTGGTATCTTTAATTTTAATTTATGACAATAATTACCCTTTTCACAAAATACCTTGAAACGCATACAAAAATACATAAGTAACCAAGTATTGTTAGTGACTTTAATAAGCGGATACATAAGAAGGGTGATGTAATCATATAGGAAGGTTATGTTGCTGTAAACTGCCCAGTACAGGTAGTTTGTGAGACTGGAAAGATCTTTGATAGTAATGCTTAAAGCCAAACTTTCTAATACTCACTTGAGCGGGGGAAAAGTATCTCTATAACTACTTCTTGCTGGGAAGATCAGCTGCTTACTAGTACATGTATATGATCAAAACAGTTGTTGGGGTCTCTTGAAACCTAAAAAAAGATATTACAGAAGGGGTTTTGGGACTTTTTATGACGCGTTAGAGTTTCAGTTCGTGAGTATGAATCCTTCCAGGTCACTGATGACGCACGTAAGGGTCGCTTCCATACAAACTCCTTTAGTGTGGCACAATGGAAATAGTTTAGTAGCTATCTGTCAACTGTCTGTCGAGTAAGGTGATTAATGACATTGATATAGTCCTCTGTAGGAGAGCACAGGACACTAATGTCACGCATGCCTGGATATGTACAGTGGAATCTGTCTATTACGGACTGGCCTGGGACCCACTCATTTTTCCGGGAGTATAAGCAGTCCGGATTAGTCAACTTGTGTCCGATACCGTAGACACTAACATAGTTGTATACGTAAATAATGTGGAAAGCAAATGTAAAAGCATATATAGACATATGAATACTGTCAGCTGTGTTATCAGAGAAATGGTATCCATATGATGTTTTAAACAATAGCAAATGTCAAAGCATAAAAGACTGAAAATATATAAACCTTCTACTCTATTGTCTTTAATATTTTGAAACAATACATACTAGTCTATATAATGATAATTTCAAATTCCATCAATATTGTAGACTTCTATCTTTCACTATTTGCAGTTTTTCGAAGTATGATTATAAATTTACAGGTAATATGTCATGTGTGTCATTGTATGAGTATGTTTGATCATTACACGAGTATCAATTGCAGGTAGATAAATACGTCTTCGCCTGTGAACAATATGGACGCTATACATTCTGTGTACCTAATTACAATGATCAAAATATTAACGAGGGACAACACCAGGGAGTGTCATCATACTGGTACATGTGTACTAATGACGTCACCATGATCTATAACCTAGTTCATAACAGGTTACATAGATAATACACTCTTCCAAAAAAGAAACGCATAGGTGATTTTTGGAAATATTGGACTCATGTAGCTGCGGCAAAAACAATACAAGTATTATTTCTTTCTAAAACGTGTACTTGTAAATAGCTTCAGCGCCAAAACGCGGCAATTTAAACTATTTCCCTTGTTTAGGAAGCTTTGGAAGAAATATTCGCGCAAACGTCAAAAAGAAAACACGCAGAGGCAAATGCACGTGCAAGTAAGCGGAAAAGCATGCGTTATCGGTCACTATTAAAATACAAACGATGTGGTTTATTTTGTCATTCGTTTTTGCCTGGAAAAGAGGAAATCATCATGCCACGACTGAGTGCCGCCAGTCGAAACATCGCCATTGGCCGCCTTGAAGCTGGGGAGTCGCAGTCTGCAGTTGCCCGACATTTCAGCTTTCATCAGAGCACCGTATCTCGTCTTTTGGGTTTCCTGCAGTCCAATTCCGCCAGTGATCGCCCGAGAAGCGCCCTTCCAAGAGTTACCACCCAAGCCCATTACAGCTACACCCGGTCCATGCAGTCCCCATGGTCCCTAGTATGGTGATCTACCTTCAGCTGTTGGCAATATATTGCCTGTTTTTACCTTGTATTGTCATCTAAAGTTAAAGTGATTTAGATTTAATTACTACATGTAGTTTTAAATTCCAATCTGTGATAATCTAGTTATTGTACTGTCCTTCGTTTTTACCATTTACCATTAATTACTATGTATAAAATTAATTGTTCTCGTCACGACATGGATGAAATATTGCTGATGTGAAGATAAATTTTAACTAACTCACTCACTACAGCTACATCCGGGTTGCCAACTTGCATCATCGTCGTGCCACAGCCGTGGCGATTGCGTGAAGTGTGGATTCGACCAAGAAGGTCAATTGTCGCTGGAGGCGAGACTGGTTCAGTGATGAA